ATATATATATATACAGTTTCTCATATAAAAGAAGCCAGGCAATATCTGAGCTTGTGAGTCTGACTCATTTCACTGAATGTTATGTTCCCACGGTACACACCTACTCACCTGTGAATGCCTCGAGTTTATATTTTGATGGCAACATAGTATTCCGTTGTGCATAAACATCACATTTTCCAGCAATTGTCCATTCTAATTTAAGTTCTCATCCGGTACCGGGTGTAAAGTGACCAGGTGGGCTGCCTGCGATCCTCTCCTCTGGGAAGCCTCGACAGTCCCAATGTCACATCTGGAGCCGGCCTCTGGTGATCTGGGTTCCAGTCTCCCTCCTGTCACACACCTCCCCTTGAACCTCTCCCAGCCTCAGATTCCTCATTCATGATTAGGGATTAGAAACACGGGCTTTCCATGGCATGCAGTTTGAGGGAGCTTTTGTGTGCCCACCCGGCCCTGGCTTCCCCACACCCTGGGATGAGTCTGCTGCCAGCCTCCCGCCTGGAGAGACAGAGAGGAATAGAAGCCAAGCACTGGCCACCTAAGCAAGTCCTGAGGGTGAAGGGCTGACCCGAGGGATTCCCTGAGGCACTGCAGGACAAGGCGTGGGCCAGCTCACCTTGTCACCTTCATGGGCTCTGCTCTGACCAGACTCATGGTGGGGAGGAGGGATTGGACCAGACTTACTTCCTTTCGTGGGCTTAGTTCTCTTAGCAGGAGGGGCCTGGTTGAAGCTCAAGGTGTCAAGCTTTTGTTAAAGCTCAGTAGCTAATGAAATCTATGTTCAAATGAAGTCTTAACCGGGAAACCACATGTGGAAGAAATCAAAGCAGAGCGGCCTCCTGAGCTGTCAGACCCTGCCTCTCCTTCCAGACCTTGATGGCCTTGGCCTCCACTGTGGGGCCCCTCGGTGTCTGGGATCCTCGGAAATCCAACCCCAGGCGCAGGGGCTGCTGCTCACCCCTGAGGTTGGGCTGGAGGAAACCCATCCTGGTGGAGGAGGAAAGGTGAGGTTAGAAGTCACTGCTGTGTCCTGATTCTTCCTCACAGAACAGACTGCAGTTTGGGGTCACTGTGTGCCCTGTGGCCCCCTACCTGATGTCCCCTTCCTGACTGCAAAGTCTTTTTGGAGACTGTGGGGAGACCACGGCTTTCTCAGCTCCAGATCTCAGTGCAATGGATGATGACCACGATGGTGAGGTTAAGGACACGAAAGCACCCGCCTTCTTCAGGGTTCGGGTAAAGCTCGCACTCTCTGCAGGGACCGGGACTCAGTAGCCCACGTATCCCATGTCTCCTCTGCCCAGCACAAACACACGAACCCGCAGGCTCAGCGTGTCTCTTCCCTGACCTTCAAGAAGGCAGCTGGAGGAGCAGAGGGGATGCAGGGAGGCCTGAGACCTGGACTGCAAGACTGAGGGATGGACAGCGGTGGGGAAGGAGAGGGAGGGGACTCCAGGGCAGTCCGTCGCTGGGCAGGGTTGTGGGTGGGGCGCAAGGCTGTCCAGATATCCAGGAATCTGTGTGCCCCAACTGCCCGATCTGACCCTACATTCTCTGCTTGTGCAGGTGCTGCACTAAAGCAATGGCAGAATGAGACAGAGATCAAAATATCCCTGCCTGCTGGAAAGGAATGGAGGACAAGCTGTGCGTCGGTGTTGGGTATGAAACGCAGGGCTTGGCAAAGCTTTTCCACTCAGTGGGGTCCCCAGACCTCAGAATTTTGTTTTGTTTTAGTACCTGGCATTGAGCCAGAACCTACACACCGAGTTACATCCTTGGCTCTTCTCACGTTTAAAATTTTGAGACAAGGTCTTGTTAAATTGCCTAAACTAGGCTGGAATTTACTGCCCCCCACCTCAGCCCCCCATAGTGCTGGGATTACAGGTGTGCCTCACCACCCGCCAGAGGAAACTGTTAAAGTCTCTTTCAGTCCCTGCCCCCAGCCCCACAGGAGCTGAGCCAAGCCCCACCTGCTGCCTTCCTTGTTGGAGCGTGGGTGTGGTGGGGTACAGGAGGGACTTCAGCTTCCCTGGGCAGTCCTTCCTGACCCAATTCCGAGAGCTTCAGGAAGGAGGAAGCCCAGGAATGCCAGCAGGAAGCCCCCAGGGAAACTTCCTCCTCCCCACCACCTGGCCCATAGTGGAGAGACTGCAGGTGTGACAGCCAGCAGATAAACCAGGCACAACTGACCAGCAGGCCAGAAGGAAAGAAATAGAACCAAAAGGGTAAGGGGAGGAACCAGGGCCCAGGGCCCTTTTCACTTACTGGAGCATAATCTGCTCCCACAGTCAAGTGTATAGTACAGGTTCTTCACTGGGCACCTTGAAGGGCCCCTATACCTGGTGCCTGTGGGATTTGGTCCCGACTTCCTGGCTGCACACGGTGCCAGGCCTAATCTGGTCATGACATGGTTAACGAATGTGTTAATTTTAAGTTACAGTTTTAGCAGATACAAAAAACCGCAGCCCTCAGCAAAGACAGGTTGCTCCTTCAGGTGACTAAAGACCAGATATAGGCTGCGCTGTCTGAGCAGATAGAACACAGAACGGGATGTTACAGAAAAGAGATACAACTACAAAGTACAGCACGGCATCTTCATGCCAAGTTACCTGATAACAGCCACACGTCTGCCTCGACTGTTGCACGGATGCCAACCACGAACGTTTGCTCCAACCCTTGCATGTGCCAGCTGTGCCAGGCCCCTTCCCAATCTGCTACAAAGCTCCCCACTTTGTCTCTGTTCACCACTGATGGCTCTGTCTTCCTCAGTTGACCTGCTCTCAGGTGAATAAAGTCAGGGCCTCATTGCCTTCCACTAGCCTGCTCAGGTGGTCTCATTCCTGTTATTCGTCACACACAGCAGGTTTCATAATTTTGGATTTTGTATCCTCTTTCTCTCCTCCCCTTGCCCCCACTCTCCTGGCTTGGTGCTGCCTGCTTGCTTTGGTGATAAAACTTGCGCTAAACACTCATAGTTGGCTCACTAAGCTCTCCTAAACATCCTCAGTTGGAGGTTCCTACATGGGCAGTGTTCCTACACCCATTGTACAGCTGAGGACACCAAGGCTCAGCTGCTGGGGCCAGGTGAACCGTGGAGGCCACCTGGCTGCAGGGTACCAGCGGACTCTGATGCGTGGAAGGTCATTAGCCAGGGGGTCCTTGATGTGCCGAGAAAGCCAGTGAGGTTTCAGCTCTGTGTCAGTCCCAGCCATCTTGCTCCACCTGCCTGCCCTCTGTCCTCTGCCCTCCTACACAGCCCTATCCCATTCCAGTGGAGACTCTGGTCTCTTTCTTCTCTCCTTCCCCTGAAGCCAAGGTGTCTACTCCATGGGAGAGTCAGGTCTTGGAAGGTTTGGGGAGAGAAAAGACTCAGCTCCTTGGTCTCTATCTCAGCCAACTTTCCCACTGTGGAATGGATTGAGGGCAGACATCGCTTGACTGATGGGTAAACTGAGGCTGGGAGAGGGAAAGTGACTGGGCTGAGGCCACACAGCTAATGAATGGCAGAGCAAGGCTTAGAAACCAACTTCCAGCCCTTCTGAGTCACAGCAAAGCCCTTCTGACTCACCGCGGCTCTTTCCACTACACTAAATGGTCCTGATGCCTGGCTCTGCTCAGCCCTGACACTGCCCTCCCCCCACCCCCGCCAGTCCTCCTGGGAGACACTGCGTCCCAAGAGCTGTCCTCTGGGAGGGACCCTGCCATGTCAGCTCTGTTCCCCAACAGGCTGGTCTAATCCCCCAGAAGACCTGGCCTGGGAACAGTAGGATCAAGGAGGGAGGAGAGTTCTGGGCTTATTTTGCCCAGAACCAAGGAACAAACAAATTATCTACAGGCCTGATATGCAAACACATCTACTACACATCAACAGCCAGTGGTAAGAATTGGGAGTGGGGAGGCAGGAGGGCAGGAGGGCAGGCAGGTGTTAAGGGCTCAAGCACCCACGTAGTTGAAGGTGTTGCTGAGGATTAGAAAGAGTGACCCTAATTGCCTGCCCCTGTCCAAGGTGGGCCAGCCTGGGGCTTCTGGGAAGGTTTCTGAAAACCAGATGAATGCCAGAAAGTTGAAGACTAAGAGAGAAAGGCCTGAGCCACAGAGGCCTCAAGCTCAGGACAGGATGGGAGGCAGTGGACTGCACAATGCAAAGGCCGGCGTTTGCATGGCACGGGGAGTGCAGAGGGAGTCAGCCAGGGCAGCGCGTTTACCCTCCCCAGTCTCTCCAGCCGGCCTCTGGGGAAGAACTACAGGTTTGTCTCAGAGGCACAGATTCCTTGCTCCTGATGAAGGCAGAAATGCAGGTTGTCTTTTCCTGCCTTTCTTCCTCCTTTTCCTCCCTGGAAGACTCAGTGGTCTTTATCCTCCCAGCAACTCCGGTTCCAGCCACCCTTGTCCTCTGTGACTCTGCCCCAACTCCGAGCCTGAGCAGCTTGGCATCCTAAGATCCAACAGGGGGCGGCGGGGTCCTGGGGTCCCCAGATGACTCATGGGTCTTCCCCTGACACCCACACAGGAGGATTTCTCAGGCTGGGATCACTGCATGGTGTCCTTCTGAGCAAGGGCCTGGCCTGGGTGGGCATTAGTCAGCGCTGATGGACTGCCACCCAACAGGGGCTGCAGAGAGCGGTCAGGGGAGGCCTGGGCTGCTGTGGGGCCAGCACTGAGCCAGCAGTCAGCAGGCTGGCTCCCTTGCACTGGTCCTTAGAATTATCCTGTGCCCCTTGGAAGTCTCTGCCTCTTTGTCTTCTTTGCCTGAGGGACTGGGCCAGACACCTTGTGGCTTAGCTGCTGTGCTATAAGGAGGGAGGAGGGAGAAAGCAGAGGACCCCAGAAGGGGTGACATAGGCTAGGTCACTTCCATGAGCCTCAGTGTCCTCATCTGCAAAATGGAAATTGCTTCTGGCCTCAAAGGCAATTGTAAAAAATGGATGAGGAAGAAAGACAATGACTCAGGACGGAGCCTGCGAAGTAACAGCGCTGGAAGGGTGTGAGCTCCTGAGAACGCCAGGGACTAGTTTCATGGGGAGAACTGGTTTTAGGGTTAGGGCACGCTGTGGGAGGTCGGGCGACGTGTCGGGGGTGGGCAGTGTGGAGTCCGCAGGTGAGACGCCGTGGTGCAAGGCGCGGCTGGGACGGTCGCGGGGGACACACACACCCGGGGCTCGGGCTACCGCATTGAGCGGGGAGGGAGCGGATACCCGCAGGTTGCACCTCGTCCAGTCCCGAGGAGGCTGGCTTCACACATCCACCTCAGAACCTTCAAAAGCTCACGTTTTCCCAGCCCCTTTCACACCGAATCGCTTCCTTTGTCTGGAGGAGGGGGTGGGAGGAGACGGAGGGCGAGCAGGGAGGGGTCGCGGAGCCGCCCCCACCCCTCCGGGTGCGTGTCGCGCGGAGCCCGACTGTC